GGGATCAAGCCTGACCTGTCTGAGGACTCTGGGGCCCCCCTCCATGTGCCGGCCTCTGAGACCAGCAGGCCCCTCCTGCCCTGGCAGAGGATGCGGGGGAGGGGGGGAGCAGCAGAGGGGAGCACAGGCCTGTCTCTAGTTGGCCCTCCCCAAACCATGAGGACCCCACTCCACAGATGAAGAAGCAAATGCTCGGGTGGGCAGCCCCCAGCTCAAGTCACACAGCTAGTGAGAGATCGATGGGGGATTGGAACCTGAAGGTTTTCGGTCTGGAGCAGAGAGATCTGCAGAAACAGTAGTCCTAAGCAGGCGGGCCACCTGGGCTTGGTGCAGCAGTTGCCCCAGGTCTACACCACATGCAGACCACCACCCGGGTCTTCCCTGGTGGTCTAGTGGTTAAGACTCTGCATTTCCGCTGCATGGGGAGGGTTCCACCCCTGGTGGGGGAAACTGCCTGCTGCCTGGGGCGGCCAAAAAAAAAAGGCTACCACCCTCCCCCATTGCCTCCAGACAAACCAGTTCAAGCTCCTCAGCCCACCCATGCTGTGACCCCTGGCAACATCTGGGCCTCAATGAGCCTCAGTTTCCCCATCTGTCAAACAGGGACAAAACACCTACCCCTGGAAGCTAGGAAGAAGAGTCCCCCGTCGTTATGGGTTTCCCAAATCAGAGATGAGCACTCCACCCTACTTAGATCCCAGTCTGTCGGGGTGGAGGATGCATCTCGACCCCTCACCCGCCGCCCCATCTCCACCTTCACCCCGCTGGGTCCAGGGGAGGAAGGCGGCGGGGCCGGCGGCTGGAGCCGAGAGGAGGGGGCTTCTGATCCCAAGAGGGGCCAAAGGGGGGGCGGCGAGGGCCGGGAGGCGGAGCGGGAGAGAATCCACCGGGGAGGCATCCTGAATGGCTCATTAGTGCCGATGAAAGCCTTTTTTCATTTCGTCTAAATACTTTAAACAGGGCTCCCTCCGATGTCTATTTGCATAGCTTAAGAGCTAATGCGGGGGGAGGGCCCAGGCGGCGGTGGCGGCGGCGGGGCCACACCAGGGCCGGGGGCTGCCGAGAAGCTCCGGGCCTCCGCAGGGGAAGCCGGGCTGGGGGTGGGGGAGCGGAGGGGGTGTTTCCCAGCCCCGGCCCGCGGGAGGGGAGGAGGGAGCGGCCGCCCAGGGAGTGCATTCCTGTGTCCAGGCACCAGGTGGACCGGGCAGCCGGGGGATCCTGGGGGGCTGTCTGGCTGTGGCCACTGTCCCCCAGCTCCATGCCCGCCTTGGAGTCGGCCGTCCTTTGCACCGTGTGGTACAATATTATCCTCGTTTAACAGATGACAACGCTGACATCCTGGAGGTCACACACACTGCTACACAACAGGGAACACGGTCCCCCAGAAAGGAGAGGGTGGCCTCACCCGGGCCAGCCTCTCCCAACCCCAGAGAGCTGCTGCCCTCGGAGGGTGGCCTCACCTTCTGTATCCCCCGACACTTCCCCCAGAAACCCCTGCTACTTAGAACATTAAGATTCTCATAAAACCTCTCCAAAGCGCCCGTTTTACAGCTCAGGACACGTGGTGACTGTCCTGGGCTCCCTTGACTTTTAAGTGGCAGAGCTGACATTTAAACCTGGTGCCTGTGTGACGCGGTGCCCCCGCCCTGTGAAGCAGTGTTCTGGGCCTCCGGTTTTGAGTTCCAGACTCAGATGCGCTTTGGGCACAGAATGGGGGCTCCCTGGGTCCCAGCCCAAAGGCCTCCTGGGGGCCCAGCTCGGCTCAGTCTCAGCTTAGGTCCCAGGTGCCAGAAACTGTGGCCCCAGCTCCACTTCCAACCTGCATCAGACCGTGGACAGGTCCAGTCCTTTCTCTGGGCCTTAGCTTCCTGTACTGGCTAGAGGACTCTGCTGGGGAGCACCAGTCCCTTCTTCCTGTGAGGCAGACTGGTGTCCTGGAATGACTAGGGCTTTGTGAACCAGATCAAGGTAGGTTCAGATCCCAGCTGCACCGCTGTGCCCCAGGCAGATCCTCACCTTACCTCTCTAGGCTTCCAGTTCTTTTTCTGTAATGTGGGAATAAGAGTCTCAGCTCACAGACTTGTAGTGTCACATAATCCAAGATCTGGGGATGGCCTGACTCAGTGTCTGGTACATATCAAGGCACCTGAAGAGACTGGGCATTTGGCCCCCGACACCTGGCAACCCACTCCAGTATTCTTGCCAGGAACATCCCATGGCCAGAGGAGCTGCAGGCCATGGGGTCGCAAAGAGTCAGACATGACTGAGCAGTTACACACCTCCCCTGTATCACACCCCCTCTTTGTCGGTCTCTATACCTTTGATCGCAGTCAGCCCAGGCAGAGAGAACCCCAGGAACCTGGCGAGGGAGGTCACAGGGCCTGAGGCTTCCATCACAATCAAGCAGGGTGTCTAGAGACGCCCTCTCCGTAGAAATGGCTTGTCTCCCACAGATTATCCTACCCTCTCTGACAGTGGGAAGCACCCTCAGGGACCAAGTGGCCGCTGATTGTGGAATCAATTTGCTCGTTTGATATGCTATCTCCATCCCATTTAACCAAGTGCTCGGTCCCCCCAGATAACACAATCAGTGCAATCGACAGTGACGGGAGGTGCCCATTAGCTCTGCTCCGCTGCCCAGCACCCACCTGGCAGCCGGCGGGAGGAGCCGTGCCCACTCTGGTCCCTTCCTGAGACAGAGGCATTCCCTCTCCCAGTGAAGACTGCCCTGGGACACTCATCTCTTCTTGGGCCACCCTGGAAGGGGACTCCAGAACCCTAAGGCTCCAGTCTGTGTGATGAGAAAGGCTCTTCTTCCTTGTGACATGCTAAGATTAGTCTCAGGTCACCTGGCAAAGACCGTGTGACATCTGGGGGCTGGGCAGAGAGTAGTCCTGTCCTGGCAGGTCACAGGCACTCCCTGGACCCTCCAGCACAGACTCAGATGAAAGACACAGGACACTGGCGAACCATCTGCTCCAGGGGGTGTGGGCCTGGCTGCGTACCTAGTTTGGGCACCGCGTTGTCAGTGTCTGGTACAGAATGCCAAGGCACAGATGGGCTGTTTTAGTGAGCATCCCAAGAAACAGGGATTGGTCCTGCTTTCTAAAGGCTTTGGGCCCCCAGACCTCTCTGACCCAGAGCAGCAAAGAGCCCTCTGACCTGCAGCCACCTCCCCCACCCCAGTTTCCTCCCTCCTCCCGAGTGTCTAACACATCAGAGCTGCCATGGTCTCCCGAACAGAATGTAGGCCATCTGCTGCATCCTCGTGCCTGCCAATCCACAGGGTGGGTGTGGGATGACAGCCCCACCATCGGATGTGCAGAGGAACCAACCTTCTCCTTGCCGACTCTGTTATCTCACCCTGGCTGTGTTTCCCTTCAAGTCCTCATGCAGCCATTTTGAGAGTTGTTCAAATCAGAATATCTTCCCAGCCTTCTCAAAACTGGCAAACTTCTATGTGAAGTGTATCTGAAGCCAGCATCCATTGACCTTTTTTCTGACAGTTCAGGATCTGGGGAGCCTGGTGGGCCACAAGTAGAATCTACAGCATCTCTCCAGCTATGATGTGGTTAAATAAGTCAATAGAATCAATAGCATAGCAACTTCAGGCCAGGAACAACAAACACGTTTCTTCTTCTTCCATAGCCTATCTAATCAATTGGTAGTGGCTGCCTGCGTAACTGTGTTGAGAAGGATTCTGAAGTCCCATGTGGCCTCAGCAAGAAATAATCAAAATTGGCTAACGCTGTCTGCCATGGATTGGGGATGACATGCAGATGACCCTATTTTAGACCCTACCCTAAATGGATCCTGGCTTGTGTCAAAAGGAAGATAAAGAGAATTCAGAAAGATGTAGCAAATGGGAAAGGGAAGTAATATTATCTCAGTTAATCCTATAAAAGAAACCCCATCTTACAGGTGAGAAAAATAAGGTTCAGAGAGTTTATTTGCCCAAGGTCACACAGTCCCATGATGACAGATTTGAAGTTATATCTGCCTAATTCCAGAGTTTAGCTTCTCCTACTCCATTCATATTACTGTTCTTGGTGGACCAAAAAGAGCAAGAGAGACGAAAGAAATGATTTTATGGAAAGTAAGAGAAATAAGGCGTAATGGGACCCTAACGAAAAAATCATCATGAATCCATGAAGGAGTATAAAATAAAATCCCAAATATGTGAAGTATTTCCTGAGACTAATGACCAGCAATTTCACTGAGAATAGAAAGTGAGTTTGAATGCAAGGCCCTGTAATTTCAGGCAGAAAAGTCACGGTGACGGCACTCTTGCTAAGGGTGTCATCTCTGACCTTCAGTTGACTGGTGGTTGACTTCGAGCAAATTGTTTCCTTTCTTTGACCTTGTTTCCTCATCAGTAAAAGCAGCCCTTTGACCTACATTAGGGATTGGAAATATTTGTTCAACATGTGTGTCTGAGGTTTCAGGCATGGCTGCCTAGAGTGCTGTTTCAAGAAGGATTCTGAGGCCAAATCTGAGAAGAACCAAGAAATGGTGTGATGACAGATTAGTAATGGCCTTCCAGGTGGTGCCGCTGGTAAAGAATCTGCTTGCCAATGCAGCAGACCCAAGAGACCTGGGTTTGATCCCTGAGCTAGGAAGATCCCCTGGAGAAGGAAATGGCTACCCACTCCAGTATTCTTTTCTGGGAAATCCCATGGGACAGAGGAGCCTGGCGAGCCACAGTGCCTGGGGGTTGCAAAGAGTCAAACATGACTGAGCACTTGTCAGCAGCAGCAGATTAGTAACGGCTGCCTCTGGTGTTGGTGGGGGGAAGAGATCTCCCATGTGCCATCCTTGAAATGCGTGTTATCATCTCACTTTCAGCTCTCAAATTCTATAGCTCCATGATTCTCAGCCATGAGGATGCTCCCCAAGGCTCTCGGTCAAAAGAGACATGGGTCTCCCACTGCCTGGACTGGGTATGCTGCTGCTCCCTGTGGGGCAGGAGGAGAATCTCTGAGCATTTGTTATCATTTCAGGACTCTCCTCAGAGGCCCCCACGGAGGGGGAAGGGCAGGCCCCAGGCCTGGAGGAGACAGATGGAGAGTTGACAGCGGCCCCTACACCTGAGCAGCCAGAACCAGGCGTCCACTTCGTCACAACGGCCCCTACCCTGAAGCTGCTTAACCATCACCCCCTGCTGGAGGAATTCCTACAAGAGGGGCTGGAGAAGGGCGAGCTGAGGCCTGACCCACCTACAGCGAGTCCCTTGCCCCGCCTGGCCAATCAGGACAGCCGCCCCGTCTTCACCAGTCCCACTCCAGTCGTGGCGGCAGCCCCTACTCAACCCCAGTCCAGGGAGGGACCCTGGAACCTGGAGTCAGAGCCCCCTGCACTTCGTATCACAGCTGCCCTACCTCCGGGGCCCAGCATGGCAATGCCCACCCCAGGCCCAGGGGAGGGGCCCAACACTACACCCCCTGGCGGAGCATGGACTCCAACCCCAGAGGGTCCTGGAGACATAGGCAGGCCCTGGGCTCCGGGAGTCATGTTCCGGACCACAGGGCTCAGGATGGAGGGGACCGTCGCCACCTCCACAGCTTCAGGGGACGATGAGGAGACGACCACCAGCACCATCCTCACCACCACTGTCACCACAGTCCAGCCACCAGGTCAGTTACCGGCTGGCTCACATCCCCATCTAGAGAGAGGGATGGGGGAGCTGGGGGCCCTCTGGATTCCTCTCTCTGTGTCTCTGTGCTGGCCTGCCTTGCCAACCCACAGGGAGCATGTGGACTGGAACCAGACCCAGGTTCAAATCCTGAGTGAAAGCAACTACCCCAGACCTTGGGGCTTCCCAGGTGGTACTGGTGGTAAACAGCCCACCTGCCAGTGCAAGAGATGCAAGAGATGTGGGTTCGATCCCTCGGTTGGGAAGATCCCCTGGAGGAGGGCATGGCAACCCACTCCAGTATTCTTGCCTGGAGAACCCCATGGACAGAGGAGCCTGGTGGGCTACAGTCCTTAGGGTTGCAAAGAGTCGGACACGAATGAACTGACTTTGCATGCACACCAGACCTTAGGGATTTTATCTAACCTCCCTGACCCTCTTCTGTAAAATGGCAATAAGAAGACCCACCTCCCTGGGTCACTGTAAGAACTGAGATAAGACTGCACACAGTAGGTGCTCAAGAAAAGTGGTTACCCTGCTTTCAACAGGGTAATAGAACTCCCAAGGGGTGAGTGTCATCACATACCAGACACGCACACGCGCGCGCGCGCACACACACACACACACACACACACGGGGCAGCCATAGTTGGGCCCAAATTGCCCATAGAGCTAAGTTTAGCGTTATGGTCTCCCTCTGCCTTCCAGGCCCTTGCAGCTGGAATTTCTCAGGCCCAGAGGGCTCTCTGGACTCCCCCACAGCCTCCAACTCACCCCCTGATGTCGGCCTGGACTGTTTCTACTACATCTCCGTCTACCCTGGCTATGGCGTGGAAATCAAGGTGAGTGACCTGGATCTGGCAGAGGAGAAGTTGGGGCTAGTGTGTTATCTTTCCAGAAAGGTGCTGGTTACTGGGGGGAGGTGGGGATGTGCCAGGTCATCAGTGGGAGAAGGGGCCTAGGAGCAGGGTCAGGCGATGGGCCTAAACCGTGGTTGGATTCTGCCCTGTGCATCGGGAAGTGAAGAGGTTCCTGTTCCCACTCAGCAGTGCCGAGGCTCAGAGGGGTGGCAGGAGGGGCAGGTGTGCCCATCGTCTTGCCCCAGGGGTTTAATCAGGTGCTCAGGAGAGCCCGAGGAGGGGCTCTAGCCATGGATGGGCAGGGGATTGGGTGAGTGTCTGAATCCAAGTGTCTGAGTCAAAGAGGATTCAGGCTGGCCTGGTTGGGCTTCTGAGAGCCATGGAGCCTCACTCGCACATGTATTCACTCACTCATTCCCTTCAGCAAATACCCTCTGAGCAGCCTCTCTCGGTCAGCCCCCTCTGCTGGCTCCTGGCATGCGAAGGTGGGAAAGACAGACATGGCTGCCCCATCCAAGGTGACCAGCTGCTGAGGGAGTCAGACCTAGTGCCCAGCCCCCTGCCTCCTGCCTCCCTCCCCTGGCGTGAAGTGTTAGTATCTCAGTCATGTCCGCCTCTTAGCGACCCCGTGAACAGTTGCTACTTCAGGCTCCTCTGTCCATGTGATTCTACAGGCAAAAATGCTGGAGTAGGTAGCCATGCCCTTCTCCAGGGGATCTTCCTGACCCAGAGATCAAACCCAGGTTTCTTGGATTACAGGGGTATTCTTTACCGTTTGAGCCGCCGGCTCTCTCTTAATCCCCAAACCTGAGTCTGTAGGTTCTCTTGGCTGTCCCACAGGCTCCACATGCTCCAAACCCAATTCTTCCTTTTTGTTCTCCCAAACCTGCTTGACACTCTACTCCTATCCTCAGAGGTTGGCCCCAACCAATCAGAAACCTCGAGCAGCACCCCCATGGTCCACTGTAGACGGCATCCCTGAAGCTGTGCAACCGGAGCTGTGAAACCTCGGCCCTTCCCTCTCCCTCTCCCCTGAGCCCACCAACTCATGACAAGTTCTATCACCATGACACTCTCCAAACTCAGATCTGCCTGCTGCTCCCTCTTATCCCAACCACCACGTGGTCCAGCCTCTGTCATCCCTCCCCTGATGATATAGTGGCTGCCACACTGGTCACTCCACTCATGCTTGACCCCTCCTACCATCCTCCACCCACACTGCAGTCCTTTTTCTCAAATGAAATCGATCCTACCTCCCACATCTCCCCCAAGGGCCTCTGAATCAAGGCCAGTCCCTCTGGGCCCATCTCTAGCCGTTTCTTCCCTTGCTTTGCATTAAACAGCTTACAGCTGATAGAACAGACCAAGTGCACTTTCCTCACAAGCTCCTATTGCACCTGCTGGTCCCTTCACCCAGAAGAGTCATCCTCCTATCCCTTCCCTTAGGACTCTAATCTGGCCTCACTTTTTCCGGGAATTCTCTCCTGATCCCCAGAGCGTGGGGTATCTCCCATCCTAGCTCATCACTCTGTCTCCTTTGGGTGTGTTTATAGCTGTCCACCTCCCCAGCTCAACTGTGAGTTCCTTGAGGGGTGCCTTGGAATACAGGGCCTAGGCTGGCTTCTCCATGGGCTGATTGAATGAAATGGATCAATGAATGGAGGAAGGAAGGAATGAGGTGATATTTGATGTGACTCTGGAGAGTGAATGGAGGTGGAGAGAAGAGGCATTCAGTCCAGGAGAGGGAATGAGGCAGGTGATGGAGGAGCCCAGGGAAGGGGCAGAAGAGGAGAACGGGCAGGGAGCAGGACAGCACTGCCTGTTTCCCCTTCCTGGCCTGTCCCCCACGCATCCCAGAGCCCCTGGATCTGGGCTAAGAGCCAGCTCATCTGTCCTGGGGCAGCACCCTCCCGTCTGGGGATGGCAGGTCCAGGTCTCTGAGCCAGACCCTGAGGAGGGGACACCTTCTCCCACCCCTGATGGGCCCCTCCCCTTCTTTCTATAACTGTTTGCTCCTGTTCTGCCAAGCCCTGTGCCCCTCACTCTGGTCTGACTGGGAGGATAATTAGGAACAGTCACCAACACCCCCCCCAAGCCATTAGCTCTCAGTGCCGCTTAATTAAGGTAATTAATGTAACATCATCACCTAATGAGTGGTGGCACCGGCTGTAGCTCACCGGGTGGAAGACGCCAGCTGCAGGTGTGGGGCAGGCAGTGGGTAGGGGGGCAGATACCAGGCTGGCTGCCCCCCTGCAGGCCTGGGCTGGCTTTACCTGTCCCCCCAAGCCTACCACCCCCACTGATGCCCACTAGGCCAGGCTGGGCCCCGTCCTGGCACTCTCCACAGTGAGGTGAGATGCTGTGGGCTCTGCCTGCCCTGGTCCCAGCCCAGGCATCTGCCCCACCCCAGATACCCACCCCCTTACGTAAGCCCTAGGAAGCCCCGTGTCTGTTGTCTGGTTCTGCCACATTTTTTTTCATCAGATGCAAAAGCTGTTACCAGGCAACCTTGAGAGGAAGACCTGCCACAGCCCTGGATGGCTGTCAAGAAATGTAGCAGACAGATGCTGGCCCCGCCCTCTCCTCCCCCACCGCTGGGCAGAGTCCCTGGGGACCCTGTCAACCTGATGGCCTGAGACAGAGTCTGAGGCCATGGCAGGGAGGGCCAGGTGGGGAGGGACACAGAATCAGCCAGCGCTGAAGCAAGATTTAAGGTTCTTCTATGGCCAGTTCCGGCCACTTCGGATCCTATCCAGGCCTCCTGGAAGCACCACACAGGCCACTTGGGGACCTGAAGAATTACTGATACTGCAGACCGATACCCAATGGGTATGTGAAAAACTGAGGCCATCATGGAAAGAGTGCCCAAGGCCACTCCGTTAATCATTAACTAATGTTTTTTGGTGAATGAATTTGTTCCACAAATACGGATCGAGTAATTGCTATGTGCCAGGCTCTGTGCTGGGCACTGGGGACACAGATCTTCACAATTAGTGGAGGAGACAGAAATAAAAAATGATGACCGTAAAAAAAAAAAAAACTACCACCACCACCAATGACCATAAAATACACAGTACTGTTGGCAACGGGAGTGGGGAGCACAGAGGACCGTAGGAGTTCTAGGATGGGGCACACTACCTTAGCCAGCAGTCCGAGTAGGGGGGCTGGTCAGGGAAGGCTTCTGGGAGGTGACGATACCTGTTCGGAAGGCTGAAGGATGAGAGGCCGGCAGCCAAGCCTGGGCTGGGAAGGAGCAGGTAAGGCAGACTGGCCCTTGAAGCGTGCCCAGGCAGTTTTGGACAGGTGACTTTATTGCAGAGGGGCAGGAGGTGGGCTTCAGGGCTTCTCGATGGCACTCCTGCTGGAGGCTAGGTCAGCGTAAAATGCTCTCTTGCTCAGAGCTGGATGTTGGGCCAAGCCATGCTGGGCATTGGCAGCAAGATGAGTGAGACTGTTGGCACACTTATGAGGCTGCCCATTGCTCCTTTAGGCTTGTGGCTTCTCCCCATAACAGGTAAGCCCCTGCCTGCCCCTCCATGAGTTCACGGTGATGGCTCACACTAGGTGAAAGGGATGGAATCCTGGCAAGGGGGACGGGAGGAGCCATGGGAGGAGAGGAACATCTTAAAGACGCATAAGTTACAGCCCTGCACTGGTCAGCCTGGCACCAGGCTGAGCCCCTGCCATGTGCCCAGAGTCCTGGCTAAAGACTGGGGCCCTAGGCAAGACCCTTTCAATCCCCTCTTTGTGAGGAATAGTCTCAGGGTTCTAGAATCTCTAATTGCCCAGCTCCCCATGGCTTGGACCACCTCCCTTTAGGATGTTCTTCGTGCCCTCCAAGAGTGAAGGTCTGAGCTGCCTGCAGGAAGAAGGCCAGGGAGGAAGAAACTTGCCTGTTTCGACCAGGAGTTTGGCATGGGGCTAGGCTCTTTTTAGACAGATCCAGAGAAGCCCCTTCAGATGGGTGGGCTTGAGCTCTGTAGCCCATGAGGGTCCCATTTCCTCTCCAGGCAGCCAGTCTCCCCTGAGGGCTCCAGGCCTTTCTGGGCCTGGCTCATGTCTCTCACTGTGCTGGGCATTCCAAAAGCCTTCCCACTGCCAGCCCCATCTTGGCTTGACAGCTGTCTGTACCATCTGGAGCCTGGGCACAGCTGCCCACCATCTCTGCCCTGGTGCCCCAAGTGGCCCCATTGGAACACTGCTCTCCCATGCCAGGCCAGCTGCCAATTTGATAACCAGAACCCCCTATCCTCCCAGGCCAGGACCAGGCCTGATGCAGGAGTACGTGGTGGGGCAGTGCAGTGAAATTCCTCAGCAACCTCTTCTCTACTGGCTCCAGGAAGGCCCATATTTTTTTTTGGCGGGGGGTGGGGTGGGGTTGGCGGCAGTCACAAGAGAGCAGGCAGGTCTAGCCCCATGGATCTAGGCCCTTCTCCCCATCCCTAAAGCAGACCCTGTGCCATCAGGGTTTGCAGACAAGCATCAGCTAAGACAAGGGCCTAGAAGCTACAGGACTGGGGTTCCAGTCCTGCCTTTGCAGCCCATCTCTCAGTCATGTGGCTAAGCCCCTAGCCTTCTCTAGGCCTCTGTCCCGCTCTGTGAAAGGAAGTTGAACCAGATGATGGAAAAGTGGAAACGTGTCCTCCACGCCAGTCCCTCTGAGTATGGCTCCTTTTCTGGCTGAGAAACTCCCTCACAGGTCAGACTGGGCAGTGGCCCCTCAGCCCCTGACCCTGTTTCCTGCTTTCTAGCAGCTGGCTTTCTTGGTGGCTCAGACAGTAGAGTCCTCCTGCAATGCAGGAGACCCGGGGTCAATCCTTGAATCAGGAAGATCCCCTGGAGAAAGAAATAGTAACCCACTCCAGTATTCTTGCCTGGAGACTTCCATGGAAGGAGGAGCCTGGCAGGCTACAGTCCACGGGGTCGCAAGGAGTCAAACACGATTGAGTGACTTTCACTTTCAGAACTTGGGCCAGGGAGAG